TTGTGGTGACCCCCCAACTATAAAATTATTTATGTTGCTACTTCATCACTGTCATTTTGCTACTGTTATGAATCGGCCAACACCTGTGAAAGGGTCGTTGACTCCCAAAGGGGTCGTGACCCACAGGTTGAGAACCGCTGCACTACAGGCCATAGGGTGTAAGGTAGTATAGTAGACAAGAGTGTGGCTTTAGGACTTTACCTCCAGAGGTGACACAGGGTGAGTTCATCTACCTAGTCTTCAATTTCTCATCTGTAAAAAGGGGGTAGGGTTTTACTTCCTAATACCTTGTGGGATTTTGTAAGGAGGTTCGAATGAAGTTTGGATCGGCATGAAACATGCTACTTATTCCTAGTGTTTCTACAAAGCTGATTGGGAGTTAGTGGCAAGGCACGTGATCCGGCACACATTCAGGGATAATCATGGTACTGGAAGTAATCCTGGTGGTGCAAACAGTTATACCAAAAGGCAGTTTGCACCCACCAGTTGCCGAGAGGGAAAACACCCCATGATGTCCTCCCATAAAGATCACAGCTAAACTCCCTGCTCCCTCTGCAGCATAATTTTATTCTGTCATATGGGATCGCTGAGAGTAGAAATCTACTAAAGGAGTCATTACCTTAATTTGTTAGTGGTATTTCTCACAAGTGAGGAATTAATTAAAAAAAAATTCCATAGATTCATCTTTATAAAGTGAGACTCCTTCCAACATTTAGGGAATAACCAAATAAATGACATCTTATGTGTCAAAGACAACATTCAAAAGTGGTCTTCTGACTAGCCCAATGCTCCTTCTGGCTTATTCATGGTTCACTGCTGAGAAAAGGTAGACGTGCAGTCCTTTAGCAACGGATCTGGCAAGCAGTACACAATTCTATTTATCAGGGAGAAGGGGAAAAAAGAATTACATTTATCTTACGACACAGCGTTGTGGGGGTTTTGGTCTTGTATCTCTAAGGATAAGAAGTCTTCAACTTCTCCATTGCACTCTGAATTTACTCCTAAAACGAAGACACCCTTTGCCTTGCCTCATATTTGTATTTTAATATTTATTTGTTTTAAATTGATTAGCCGTCCAGTTGGTGATTTGTAATCGTTCCAAATATTTTCCCAACAGGGTTGTTAAATATAGCAACTGGAATTTCACCCTTAAAACAACATTTTATTGTTACGTATAGCATTAAGAAGCCCTTGTTACAATGCACCAGGAAAAGAGGAATATTAGCATATTCATACCTTCAGTTAACCACTACAGCTTCCTATCAGATTGGCTCGCTGTCTGGTCTAATGGCCCCCTTGGAGAATAAAAGCAGTTCCCCAGGATTGCTGTATTTGAATTCAAAGTGTGAAATCATTCCAAAGTGTGGGGAAGTGGTAAGGGCTGAATAGTGTATCACCACTAGGAAGTGTGGGCAGCAGGGGGTGTAGGCAAATGAGAAAGCACTGAAAAGGAACACAGAGAGGGTGGGATGGAAGGAGTAAACCTACTTCCAATTTAGTCCTGAAAATGTCTTTACCAGAATTCTTTCTTGTTTAAATCGCTGCTGATTTCTCTTGAGTTTAGTACTTAGGCCTGGTTATGCCATGCTAATATTTCTTAATCACGACACACACCAGTTCATTAAAATTTGAACCCAGGCTAATTTCACCTAGGGCATTGTTGGTACTTGATGCTTTCAAATAAGCCAGTCTTTCTGTGATTGTGGGTTGTTTTTTCTCTGCATACTTTAGAAGGGATTCAATGGAGGAGGCATTGCATTTTTTTTTGCAGCCCCCCCAACCCCTACCGCATTGCATTTTTAATACTCGATATAGCCTTCTAAAAAGACTAGGAGTTATAAAAGGTTTATACCAACCTTGTCCAGTAGACCTTTCTGAGACGAGCTGTGTAATTTGTGGTGACCATTCAATAGCCACCAGCAGCATGTGGATACTGAGTGCTTGACTGGTAAGGAGCTCAAGTGAGTGGTGACTGCCTACGTTGGTCAGGTCTAGAGGCTTCGTCATCCTTGGTGGCTTGCTTCTTGGGGTGATGCTGGAAGCTGTGCCACTAGTATTCCAAATATCCGCAAAGTACTCTGGCGTGGGCAGGTTTCAAAGGAGCTTCCAGACCAGAAAGACCTGGTGGTCTACCTTCAAAAAGTAACCGTATGGATCACCATAAAGTGTGGTTCTACATGCGTGCTGTGAACACATCATAGTGCCCACTGCCAATAAGTTGATTCTGACTCATAGCTGCCCTCTCGAGGGTTTCCGATACAGCCGACCTTGAGCCTAGCGGTTCAAACATACTCACTGCCATCGAGTCAATTCTGACTCATTATGACCCTATGCACTCCTGTGGGCTTCTGAGACCATAAATCTTTCCCCCAAGGATTGGTTGGTAGTTTTGAACTGCTGACCTTGCAGTGAGCAGCCTAACACATAGTGATAGCGCCCATCACCAGGAGGAATCAATTGCTAAAGGTCATGTGTGATGTAGAGGGCCAGAGAAAGCAGAGGTGACCCCGGGAGAGATGGACTGGGACCACAGCTGCAGAGAGACTGAAACAAGCTGGGGATTAAGGATGATGCTCGACTGGGCAAGGCTATTCCCTGTGTTATGTAAGAGGTTGCATGAGTGGATGTGAAAACTCACCTCCATTGAGGGAGAGGGGGCTTCGGAAGCTATCCGTCTTTTCCCGAGCACATAGCCTCATCTTGCTCCTGCTCGTGGATTTAAAACACCAACCTTGTAGTTAGAGTCCGATGCTTACCCAACATCGCCACCAGGGCTCCTTTCTATCTAGAAGTTTTATTAAAAATTGTCAGCCTCCTTTTCTTAAAACGCAAAACACGCTTTTTAAAATCCCCACAAGCCTAGCTGTTCTGATTAATACTATGAATAGTTAGTTATATGTTTCTTTCCTGTGTGTTTGTTTTTGAATGGAAATCATTTGATCTCTGTATGACAATGAAAGACAAGTCTAAGAAACCAAATGTACTTGGGCAGCAGCCGCCTGGGATGAATGTGTGTATCGTTTATAGGAACTTGTACTATGCAGTCATTTTCTAATTTAAACTATTGACATAAAAGGAGTGAGCCCGGGCGGTTGAAAATGTGAGGTCAGAGAAGTATGCGCTGCACTGACAGGCTGGCCTTTCAAGTCCATTTTCCTTTGCATTCCCTCCTCCCTCCCCAGGAATCTGGCACCTTCTAGCTGCTCTCTGGGTCGGCAAGGCCTCTAAGGTTTTCCCCCTTAGCCTAGTAGCTCCCAGCTTCCCCAACCTGTGCCCTGCCTTCCCTCACAAATAAAAATTTGAATCACTGGTTATAGCCTTGCTGCATCTGTTGCTAATGTTTTAGATGAAAATATTGAGCCACTGAAAGAATGGGGGTTGGATAAGATATCTAACATTGATGAAATGTTCTGTGCTTGCTGAGAAGTCCCTGGGTGGGGCAAACAATTAACAGGTTTTGCTGCGAACTGAAAGTTGCAGGTTCTTTCTCGCCGCTCAGAAGGCCCTGGGGGAAGGAAGCCCTTTGGAAAAGCAATTGGCTATTGAAAACTCAGTGGAGCACAAGCCTACTTCCCAGTAGTGGTGTCACCAGTTGGAATCACTAAAACCAAAAATTGTTTTGTGATCTAAATACTTAATATGATGCTCTGTAAGAATGTGTAAGAAGAAAAGAATGTGTAAGACTCTCTCTGGAAAATAAATGGTGCTCAACAAGTATTTTTCATACAGCTGAATATTAATAATTTGTTATTATTTACCATGCACCACATGTATTCTCATTATCACAGATTGAACTGAGGCGTTTAATATGACTTCCTCAAGATTAGGCCTACTCTTAATAGCTGGACACTAAATCCGGCCACTTATACTTTTTTTCTGTTAACTGTTTAACGAAGATTATTTGCTCTTCAACTTTCAAAGGGAACTCCTTGCTAAACTGATCTATAGATTTCAATTAGGGGCTACAAATGTATTAGTAGACTGCACTTCTGCCAGTCTTCCAGGAATCATGATGCAAACTTCTGGGGGTAGAGTCAAGTCCGTGAGTGGCTCCTTGGGAATCTCACTCTGTTTAGGAAGTATTTTATTTTGGTGCTTCAACAGCAGCATTAAAAACATTCGCAGCAGTTATTTCCCTGAAGTCTAGACGTTAACTTAAAAATAATGCATTCATTTATATATTAAACTTCAACCATGTTTGCATTTATCAGCCTAGATTGCGAGGAACTGACGATCAGTTTGTGCATTGGTCTACATCGCGGGCAGTTGGGGGGTGGGTGGGGGGAAGAGGGGGTGTTCCTAAGAAACATGAGCCAGTGGCTCCGCCCCCATCTCTCTTTCCAGCCCTCGGAGCCAAAGGTTTCAGAGTACGGGGTGTAAAGACGTAGGCGGGTTTGGCAAGGCTTTGGAAATTATAATATGGCTCCACGATTTTCCACAAAAAGACCACAAACAGCGCTAGAGCCAAAATAGTACTTAAAATAGATCATATCCGGCAGTTGTAGGGCTACAAAGTACAAGCCGTCCGTCCAGTCCACAGAGACTGTTCATGCTCCCGCCCTGCAAAAATCGGGCAGGCGACACGTCGCGAGCGGTTCAGCTGCAGAGGAGGAAGAGCATCACCTGCAGTCCAGCGCGTGGGAAAAGCTGCCGAGGGCGCGGGTAAGGGAGGGAGCTGGAGAGGTGTGCCGAGCCGGGCCCGCAGCCGCTCAGGTGCGGAGGCCTAGGACGCGCCGGCGCTCGCAGAACGCAGCGGCGAGAAGGTTGCGGCGAGAGCCCACGCCACTGGCCGCTCGCCGTCCCGACTG